CACATATATACCTCTTTCTTCCTCATCATTTCTCTCATACATCTCCCCTTTCTCTTTTACTGAAATAAAAACAAAACACAAAATTTGAAGCGTTGCCAAACAAGTCCTAAAAGACATTTATCCGATTGCAGTTGATTTGTAAACGTCTCATTTGTTTATTGATGAACCAACTTTGATCCATATCAACAAGAAACTTCATGTTATGTGTTACATACAAAAAAGTTGGGACATTAGTTGGTACATGTACCATTACGCTAAGGACAGTACTTGACTCAAGTTATACATGACCTCATAATTAAGCTCCTTAGACCTGACCTAAGTATTTTCCTTACTCAAACCTAAATACACCTAATACAAACTAGTATATAGTCTATATATATTCTGTTGCAACTATGTTTTGACTATACCGCCTAAAACCTCCCCTTTAAATTGTCTTCTAAACCTCTCATTTTCTTACGCTCCTCTTTACACCTATCATTTTGTTTTGCCTAGCCTCCCAAAAGATCAGCAAGAAAACCTTTCTCTCTCTCTCTCTCTAAAAATCCTCAAAATACTTGCTATATGGGCTCACCATTTTACAGCTTCCTCAGGCAGAGTAACATTGTTTGCCTCAAATTTTTCTTGATTGTGTTATTCATGGGGTGCATATCACATAGAACAACCAACCTTTGTTCCAACCAACTCATTGCCACACCAACTACTCCAACTCACTTAGATGTTACTTCTGCTTTGGAGGCACTGAGCCTAGATGGCTACTTTAGTTTCAACAACAACAATCATGCAGCAAAGGACTTTGGCAATACATACCAGTTCCTCCCACTAGCAGTCCTACATCCGAAATCAGTTTCCGATATCTCCTCAATGGTGAAACTTATTTTCGACATGGGTTCCACTTCGGAGCTTACTGTTGCCGCCAGGGGCCATGGCCACTCCCTCCAAGGCCAAGCACAAACTCATAGAGGTGTAGTCGTCAACATGGAATCGCTGATGGGACCGCAAATGCAGGTTCACACTGGAGAGCAGCCTTTTGTGGACGTTTCAGGTGGTGAGTTGTGGATAAATATTCTACATGAGACTCTCAAACATGGGCTGGCACCCAAATCTTGGACCGATTACCTTCATCTCACGGTCGGCGGGACTTTATCATACGCGGGCATCAGTGGTCAGGCCTTCCGGCATGGTCCCCAGATCAATAACGTCTACCAGCTGCAGGTTGTCACAGGTACGCAAAACGAATTTATGCCCTCCTAAGAATGTTTTCACAGTACAGAGTTACTTGAAATTGCAGCACAAACAAACACACAGAGCACTCATCACTCATCATTTCAGAAAAAGGCGAAGGGGATTTTCGCGATCTAACCTACTCTTGTTTGGCAAAACACACAGAGCACTCATCTCTCATCATTTCAGAAAAACGCAAAGGGGATTTTCGCGATCTAACGTACTCTTGTTTGGCATTAAAGTAGTCAAATAAAATGTTTTGGTCTTACACTAAACACTAGAGGAAAACAAAGAGAAAAAAGTGAATGAAGAAGAGTGAATAAAGGTGGGAGAAATCCCGTCGAGACGTAAAAAAATGAAATTAAAAACTATTTTAAGTCGTTTTTGCTTTCAAAATTTTGTTTTGTTCTTTGTTTTTTAAGAGCATCTCTATCAGTTGGTGAAAGATAGTGGTAATTGAAGAGCAGGACAATCAAAATAGTAATTGCCTTTGTGCAAGTTCACTTGTTTAGAATGAGGAAGGAAAAAGGCAAAGACGATTGCTATTCACAAATAAATATATTCTTTTTTAATGTTTTCTTCGTCTTGTCCCCACATATTATTATTGCCGTAGATTTTGGGGTACTTTCAAATGTTTAATTTGCAAGTGTAGCAAACTTTGTAAGATTTTTATAGTGTGAACTTTGTAAGTTTTTTTTTTATTTTTTAAATAATTTTTTTGGCAATTTTTACGGTTTTTTGAATTTTTTTAGAATTTGATTAATCCTAACCGTTGAACTGGGAAAATTTTTGAGAATCCAACGTTCCTGATTGCCCTGTTGTTGCACTCATCTGACATTATAATAAAAGAAGAGCTCAAAAGAAATTTCACTGTTAAGAATCAAGTGGAACATGACAAGTAGATTAAATAATGAGTAGCTGATGAAGTATCGGTGTGTTAAGAACCAAGTGGAACATGACTAAAATTCTTTCTTTTTGAACTTCATACTCACTCAATTGCAACAATTCGAATTTACCCGGCGAAAAAATGTGCGAGTGCTATAATTAGAGTTTCGATTGCAGGAAAAGGAGAAGTACGTATGTGCTCAAAGAGCAAAAATCCAGACCTTTTCTATGGTGTTCTTGGAGGGCTAGGTCAGTTTGGCATAATTACACAAGCCAGAATCTCTCTTGAACCAGCACCAAAGATGGTAATATACAATCCGCTTAAATCATATTGTTTATTTATAAGAGTTCGTTATTGGCACTCCAAATAAATCATTCTGCACTTCTCTCTAATGTTGCACATAATTAGCGTGCGGGAGGACTTTTTCGAAGCGCTAACAAGAACTCCCTAATTATAATTATACAGTTTTTTAAACACATCAATTCTAATCATCTAGTTAATTTTGACAGGTGAAATGGATTAGAGTGTTGTACTCAGATTTCTTAGCATTTTCCAAAGACCAAGAGTATCTCATAGCATCTGAAAATTCATTTGACTACATTGAAGGATTTGTAATAATTAACAGAACAGGTCTTCTGAATAACTGGAGATCTTCTTTCAATCCTAAGGATCCAATGCAAGCCAGCCAATTCGATTCGGATGGAAAAACACTATACTGCCTAGAAATGGCCAAATACTTTAACCCCGACGAAACGAATGTCATAGATCAGGTGACACTAACAGAAACGAAAAATACATTTCTGAGTTCATCCTACGAACACTGAAATATTTCATGTATGCAGATAACCGAAAGCTTACTGTTAGAATTGCACTATATCCCAATGACCCTCTTCCTGTCCGAAGTTTCGTATGTGCAATTCCTTGATAGAGTGCATGTGTCGGAGCTAAAACTCCGAGCGAACGGACTATGGGACGTTCCCCACCCGTGGATGAACCTACTTGTTCCGAAAAGCAAGATACATGAGTTTGCTGATGAGGTCTTTGGCAATATTCTCAGAGACAGTATCAATGGTCCTATCCTTATGTACCCGGTCAACAAAACCAAGTAACTTTTCTACAGTTTTATGACTTGTACTTTAAAATTCTCAAATTCTCAATCCTAATATTCTGTTTCAGGTGGAACAATAACACATCTATGGTAACACCGGATGAAGATGTATTCTACCTAGTGGCATTGCTATCCTCTGCAGTATCTTCGAAAGCAACAGACGGCCTAGAACGCATTCTAAAACAAAATAAAAGAATACTAGAATACTGCGCTAGGGCCGACCTTGGTGTCAAACAATACTTACCTCATTACAAAACCCAAGGAGACTGGCGAGCTCACTTCGGCCCTCGATGGAAAGTTTTTGTACAGAGGAAGTCTTCTTATGATCCATTGGCAATTCTTGCTCCCGGGCAGAGGATATTTGAAAAGGGAAGGCCAATATCATGCAATGTATTAAAAGGTGAAGGCGTAGGCGAGGTGTTCTATGGATAGCCCTGCCTAAGCGTGGCGAGATGCCTCATGGTACCTAAAATTTTAATATAATTATATTTATTAAATAGAATACTTTGTAAAACAAATATAATTTTAACTAAATCAAAGATAATATCTTCTTCAATATTAAGTCTAGTTATACTTAGAAACTATGTCATATAGTCTAAAAATGTTGTAATTATTTATTTTATTGTTAGTAATTATAGAGAACTTCAAGAGAAATAAGGCTAAGTGGCCACAATTATAGGGAATTTCAATGAAAATAAAGGCGGAATTTCGCAATTACAGGCAATTTAAAATCAAATAAAGGTTGAGTGGAGCAATTATAGGAAATTTAAAATGAAATAAAGGCTAAATGGAGCAATTATAGGGAATTTAAAATGAAGTAAATGTTGAATAAAGGAATTATAGGGAATTTAAAATGAAGTAAATGTTGAGTAAAGCAACTACTATAGGAAAAGGAATAGAATGACTAAATGGAGCAATTATAGGGAATTTGTGGACAAATAAAAGAGAAATATGATGTTTATTCTTTTTTTTGTTGGAATGTTATGAGAATATCCATAAAAATATGCTTATCTATAAATAATAAACACCAAAAGATGCTTATCTATCTTTCTAATAAATAATATAAAAAATAAAAGTGAATAAAAAAAAGATAGCGAGGTAATAAATGTTAGCATAGTAGGGACTATTTAAATTTTAAAGAGAAAAAAATTATTGAAAAACGAAAAGTTAGAAAATATAAAACCCTCACCGTCTGTCTTCTTCATCTTCTTTCCTGGTACGGTTTTGCAACTCAGGTTCGTGGCTGGGCATGGCTTTGGTTTGGGTATTTTTACAAAAAATATAAATAAATAAATAAATATATATATATATATATCAGGGCAAAAATGGGAAAATACAACACCTGAACTCCCTTAGGCGCGCTCCAGCGACGCCTTACACCACACCTGGAAAACAGAGGAAGCAAGCTACCCGCCTAACCTTCGAGGCTGCCTAGGCGCCCCCCGAGGCGAGCCTTTTAAAACACTAATATTATGACACTGTATTAAAATGATTGAGCCACCCCACACAGGAAGTGCCTCACATGTTCAGAGCCGATCGATAATGTACAGAACTGTTTAGTCTTCTTAGATTTCCAGTTCCATAGTACGCAACAAAGGGAACCTTTTCGTTGTCCGATAAAATTTTGTTCTAAATTCTAAGCATCTAATATACAGTCACTGCATGTTGTATATAGAACAATGCATTCAGCCCAATGAACCGTGTTCGTGGCATACTATGAAACCTATCTATGCTTTGTTCCTTGGTTGGTTCCAAGTCGAACAAAATATCAGAGAATTAAAAGAGTAAAAGGATAAAAATCTCAAACTTAAATACACTGAAATTTATGTAACATGTTCAGTAAGATATTAGTCCTTCAGTAGTACAAGAAAAAAGTACCAAAATGTAAAGTGTAACAAACTTACATGCGCGTAGGCAAGCAGTAGCAAGAACACAGTTATTCTGTTTCTTTAGCTTCTTTCCAGCCAAGACCTGGCCTGCAGATATTTCCCTGTGGTTCTTCATAACCTCGAGCATCACGTATTGTGGCTTCAAAGTCAGTAGAATCACTTGCAACGGGAAGAAAACTACTAATATCATCTCTAGCACCAAAGCCTCCAGCCCGCATAACATCATCAGATGTTATCGATGCCTCCATATTCACTTCAACAGCGGTATCCTTATAAACAGAAGGTGCATCATGTGTGAGATTAATTCCACCTCCCAAATCAATCAAGTTAGGCTGTACTTTATTATCTGGTGAACCAGCAAAGGGTTCCAAAACATCTCTTCCATCGGCCTTTGAAAGATTGGAATCAGCTACTTCATTCCTTGTCTTGGTTTCGTTCTTATCTGGAGTCAAATCTCAAAAACCCTTAACAAAGAAAGCTAGCATGTTTATTAGTCTAGTTACATGAAAAAGAAATCAAATATTAAAAGCCTAATAGTATTATATATGGCGAGAAAATCCAATAGAGACATAATAACAGTTCAATAACAATTCAGGAAAGCATAGCCTACAACAACAGCAGCAGCAAAGCCTTATCCCATTAAGTGGGGTTGGCTGTATGAATCCTAGAACGCATAGCCTAAATAAAGACAATTGCAACGGTATGTAAAATAAAGACAATTCAGTGTCATCCTATATTATAAAATAACAACCAAAGGTTAATATGGAACTAATGTCAAATGCGAAAATGACAGATTTAAAAGGAAATTATCATACGATATTGTTCGGCCTGGAATGTGCCTCACACAACTCTCCCTCAATTTTGGTCCAAACAGATACCAAAAAAGGAAACATGGAAGACGAATATGACCAAACTGCAAATATCTACAGAGGCGGCATTACTATGTGAGTAGTTTAAATGTGCAATTCTTTGTCACATGAGGCAATTAATCCTATTTGAACTGTTGAAACAATCTATAAGGAAAGTCATGATCTTATTTTGTAATGTTAATGACATAGTTCCATAATGTTTATCTAAAAGCAGAACCAGAAATATAGGACAGCCCGTCTTAAGTCAGTTCCTCTAATCCTACTTCAGATGTTAGTAATTACCGGAATTTGACAGATGCTGGCAACCTGAACAGAACTGCATGCTTAACATTATTATTAGTTATGTTAATGCTTGGAGAACAATCACATACGAGAATTGCTTGAAATATGCATGATAAGGAAGCAGATACCATGTACAACTTCATCTTGCTTGGACTCCATGATGGATCAAATCTTGCAATTCTTCTTCTAGTTTAGTTCTTGAAACCTAATAAAAGAACGGTTATTGGGAAGCTCCAATGAACAATATGAAGTATACACTAACCTTAATACCTGGAGACGTGTAGCAAACCAAAAAAAACGTTTTCTCATATTACCAACAATTTCTTATGCAAGAAGATATGGCCACACATCAGTTACAAGCACATGAGAAGTAAAAACACTTGCAAGTATGAAAAAAAACTGAAACTTCACACTGAATTGGCATGGAAATTGTAGATGCTTTAAATAGGTAGAAGGACACAACAACTTGGCAGACCGACCAACTCCTACACCATTTTGCAGACAAGGTTAGCAGCAGGATCCATCTGAACCATGGTTAGTCTTTTATGTCGAACAAAGTAGCAGTCTGCAGCACAGATTACTAATCTAAACACCAGAGCATTGTAAGCGAGCAAAACTGTTATAGCCACAGACAGCTGGCTAGAAGGTCTCACATTGTTAAGCAGCATTCTTTTCTTTACCATAATCCAAACACCATATTCTCTTCAAACCATAATAGTCGAGCACAACGAATTACTGGTAAACTACCTCGAAGTATCCTATTAGTAAGTGGTGTAGTACTCCACTTATACTGTAACAAGTAAAAACAAGTTGTGGAGATTTCAGAGGTTATTCTGATAGTCCACGATGACAAGAGAATTATTCAGTCATTGAATTATAAAAGGAGGACGAAATGTCCAAGGATATTCTGGAGGATCATGCGGAGTTATATGTCTTGAAGCAAGTAAGTTCACAGTTGTGTAATAATCCACGATAAAACTTTATCAAGGGTGGCATACATTACTGTCAGAAGACGCATGGGAGAATTACATGAATACACAGAGAAAATGATCAAAGTGTAATAGATAGAATGGAAGTCCAAATGGTAAAAAAAATATGCATAAAGCATGAATTAGTGTATCATTAAGTGCAAGAGGAAGATTAAAAAATAAGAGTTTTAAACATAACATGAGATAAGTGGACAACTCCGACTAAAACAAAGGGAAAAAAAACTGCATTTGAGACAGAACGCCTATGCAGTCAAATGAATCGTACCCAAGGGAACATTGTTATGGTTATCGTTACGTTCCTGACGAAGTACCCTTTTTTTGTTTGTAGTACTATTTTGATATTCTATCATTTTTATAAACGGCCTTCATAAAATTTTCAAGGACTTTACTTTTGAACTCCGGTGCGCAACAAATTTAATTTCAAATTTGATAATCCCTAAATCCTAAACCCTAAGCAACATATGTTAGTTTTGAAAAACCCTAAACCCTTTGAGAAATACTGAACCCCTATTAGAATTAAATTTCTTAACTCCCTACCCTTTTCCAAATTTTTTCCATTTTCCCCTAATTCTCTTACAACCTGCATCCTGTGAAATCCAGATGAGGTAACTCACAATCATGGTTTGTCTGGCTGCCAAAAAAACAGAGAACAAGACTGGAAATCAAAGAAAAAAAAATAACAAATCCAAATACTAGAACCAAATAACTTACCAAACAACAAAAACCCAAGTAACTGCGAAATCTCATCAATCATATGTTTCTGGAAGATTCATTCATTTTCTCAGCAAACAAACAGAGGGTACATTTCATCTGCTTTTATATGCACACTACACATATGCATTGAACACGTGTGTGTGTGTGTATATATATATATATGATACCTGGAATTTGAAGGAAGAGAGGAGATCCGCTTTTTGGTCTGGTTTTTCACTACCTTCTTGTTCTAAGACAAGGGAGCAAAGAGATGGTTTATAGACTTATCGAGGGCCTTGTTTGTCTGATATTTGTTTTGAATAACATTGGTCGATCAGCGTCAGAACTTGAATTCAACGTGTCATCTCCCTTATAGGACACGTTTCGAGTGGTTGACAACAGCTGGTGAGAAATCATTGGTAGTCGAGACTCGACGGTTCTGCTAAAATTTGGGTACAGATTTGGTTCCGGCTGGCCCAAGATATTTATAGATACTAGAAAGTGACGTGAATTGAACTAGATATACGTTGCTTAGGTTGGTTTGATACCATTGGATTTGATTAGAGGATGCATTTTAATGGCTCTCTAGTAAAATTGAAGGAAAATAAGAAGAAGAAAAAATCAACTCCAATCACACTTTCTTTCTTTCAATTTGAGTTCGAATTTGCTCGCCACTCTTACTAGGTGATGAGCATTTTCTTAAATTACACCATGCGTTAGTGGCTCAACAATTATTTTATATATTTGGCTTATTTTTTGCAATGTCATTTAAAACTCGAACTTAATCTTATTTTTTTTAAGGAAACAAAACTATCGTTACTTTTTGCACAATAAACTTTATACACATAAACTTTTATGGATCATTGTCAATTGTTCAAGCAAAACAACCAAGGGATACTCTTTGTCCATCAAACCAGGACAATGCGTTGACTCGTACAATGTACAAATGAGTACTAACTGCGTGATCTGCATGGAGAGATTATTCAGTGTGATTGGCACATGGGATGGTATACCACGTGCCACTATATAAATAATGGGATATGTGTGTTAATAAGTTAATAACTTAAAAAATAAAAAATTTCACCACTTACATAAAAATATATGGTATACCACATGTATTTCCGTCACAATGAAAAATTTCTCATCTGCGTGGCTCATTGTACTGGCTCATCAAAACCGAAAAGGATGCGCGACCCTGCATGACTTGAGCGGTGCCGTTAAAATTGTGCCTGACCAACATTTATTGTCACAACGATGTTGTTTACTGGATCTACGAAGCGACCAATGATTACTTAGATGCGCATTCGCGAGATGATTGTTGCCAATAGACAAAATTATTGTACATTTGACGTCGTTTTGACGAAATAGACTGAATACTACTAAAGTGGAGCAGAAAATAGATTTTAATCATTTTTATGGAACATAATTGATGTTTAAAGGACATGAAATTTTTTTAACAGCAAAAAGCTATTTCAAGTCCCAACAAATATGAAAAATCTTAAAGGAGAAGTAGACATTCAATATGATTTTGATAGCAACTTAAGATTGTTGACATGTGGACATTTTAAAAGAGTGAGTGAAAAAGGTAATAGACATGATGTTAGTTTACACCAAGTTGTGCATGTATAAAAATATCTATAAAAAAAAAAATTATAAAAAAAAAAAAAAAAAAAAAAACTAACTTCTCATGCCATATATTTGTCAATGTCAAAGAAAAATACAAAGTTGTTGAAAATGCTGGTGGGTAGTGAATGCCCACAGTACTTTGGCAGAAGTTTTCAATGCCCATGCAAATCTAAATTGACTTTGGGAATGCAGATTCAAAAGTTGTGTTGTAAATTTCAAATGTATAATTAATATGTTTGATCGGAGCTGCTCTATAAATAGAGCGATCCGTATGTTTTCAAGACACATCAAATAGAAAGAAAGAAAGATTAATAACATTATCCATTCCTTCCATTTTTATTTGTCGTTCACTTGAGTTATCATTACAGTGTAATATTTTACATCTGTCTCGCTCCTGTCATTAGTACAGGTTATCTCTCTAACTTTTACATATTTATAACACGTTATCAGCACGAGTCTCTAAAATATAATCATTCTCTCATTTCTCTTCGTCGAACGAAAGAAAGAAAAAATGTTTCCTCTAAGGCTTTACTGTTCATCTTCTTCCTTTGCCTCAACTGCGCAGTATACCCTCGCGATGAACTGTTTGCTCCATGCCTGCTTCTAGTTCTCAACCTAACAGTTAAATATATTTTTGATTTCTTGTTTGGTGTAGAGATTGATTACTAACCCAATATTTATTTATGTTAATTTTACTGCAATCTAAGATGGTGCAGTACAATCACGCATCTTGAACTGCAAATTTATTCTTACTACGATCCAAGATGGTGCGGTATAATCGCCTATCTTGGACTGCAGATCTAACCTTACTGCAAATTTTAGGTGGAGTGGTATAATCGCCCAGCCTGCTCTACGTATTTAAATTTTCCTGCTACTTGAGTGGTGTGGAATAATCGCCCATTCTATGTTACATTATTTCAATGAGAATGGTGCAGTACAATCGCCCTCCTCATTCACCTTGACAATCTTGAGCCAGAAGTTTCGAGTGCTTATCATTTTGACCTGAAGATCAAAATGAAAAATTTGTAAGAACCAGAAGTTCTAGTACTATATTCCTCCAGGAATACATATTATTGCAAGTTCTTACACATCTCATTTTCTTTCAAAAAAGAAAATGGCAAACTTGACGAAGCTTGATTATGTTGCCCTAGACATTACCGGGAAAAATTACCTTACCTGGGTACTGGACACCAAGATCCATCTGGAAGCAGGAAATCTTGGAGATACCATCAGGGAAAAGAACAACTCATCCTCTCAAAAGTAAGCGAAGGCTATGATCTTTATTTGTCGCCATCTTGATAAGACACTAAAGAGTGAGTACTTAACGGTTGAAGATCCGTTAGCTCTCTGGAAGGCTTAAGAAACAGATACAATCACCAAACAATAGTGATTCTTCCAAGATCTCGCTGTGAGTGGACTCACCTAAGGATCCAGGATTTCAAGTCAGTGGCTGAGTGCAATTCTGCGTTGTTTAGAAATACCTCTCAGATGAAGCTTTATGGGGATACCATTACTGAGGAAGATATGCTGGAAAAACTTTCAACACATTTCATGCCTCTAACGTGCTCCTCCAGTAGCAATATAGAGCACGAGGCTACACTAAATACAACCAGCTGATATCTGTGTTCTTGGTAGCCGAACAAAACAATGAGCTCCTGATGAAAAACCATAATTCCCAACCTACTGGATCTGCACCATTCCCTGAAGTGAATGATGTTTCCCTCGAAGTGATCGCCACATCCTCTAGTGGTGATAATCATAAACGAGGATGTGGCCACAAGCGAGGTCGGTGGAACAGGAAAGGTAAGAACCATGGAGTTCAGTTTCACAACCAGGTTCCGAGGCATAATTCAGGCCTGAGCTTTAAAAATGTGAATCTCCACAAAGGCAAAGCTCATATGAACAATGCTCCCAGGAACTCTAATAGAGCCTGCCATAGGTGTGGTGGCGATGGGCATTGGGCGCGTACTTGTCGTACCCCAAAACATCTGGTGGATCTGTATCAAGCATCCCTTAAGGAGAAAGGTGTCGAGACTAATTTCCTCGATCAGGCTAGACCAATGGATATACTTGATCTAGTGTGACTTATCATGATAGTTGAACACAACCCACCTAGATGTTTTAGACTTTATTGTGGAAATGGGAAATGAAGTATACCGGTTCAATTGAATCATTGATGTTTGATGTACTTTTATTATGCTGACTTGTAGTTTAAAAGCATTTCAGATTCAATAAAAGTGGCATGTAAATTTCTTGTTATAACTTGCTTTTAACTTTGATTCTCTTGCTTGGAGAGCATGGATAAAAACTATGGTCATTCTCAAAACATGAGAAATGGCGAAGATATTTGTCTTGCAGACTGCATAACAACGCATACAATACTTCGAAATTGAAAGTATTTCTCAAGATTGATGCTTACAAAAGTAAGTGTAACAACAATATCAGGACCTTCAGATGTAATTGAAGGCTCAGGGAAAGCTCAGATTATGTTTCCAAATGGAACAATATTGTCCATACAGAATGCGTTGTACGCTACTCGATCTACTCGAAATTTGTTGAGTTTCAAAGACATACATTTAAATGGATACCACATTGAAACGAAAAGTGTAGAAAATGTGGAGTATCTATGCATTACCTCCAATGATAACCAGAAGCGTATATTGGAGAAGTTGCATGGTTTGTCGAGTGGATTGTATTATACATACATAAAGACAGTTGAATCACATATTGTCATGAACCAGAAGTTCATTGATCAAAAGTTTACATGCTTTGGCATGACCGTTTGGGTCATCTAGGATCTACCATGATGCGTAGGATCATTACCAACTCTAGTGGACATCCATTAGTGAGCAGACACATTGCTATCTCAAATGATAACCTTTGCAAAGCTTGCTCTCAAGGAAAGTTGGTAATTAGACCATCACAACTAAAGATTGATGCTGAATCCCCATCATTTCTGCCAAGAATTCAAGGTGATATTTGTAGACCTATTCAACCATCATGTGGACCATTCCGATATTTTATGGTTTTAGTTGATGCACCTACTCGATGGTCACATGTTTGTCTCTTCTCTACTTGGAATGTAACTTTTGCAAGAATTCTTGCTCAGATAATTAAGTTACGAGCACAGTTCCCAGATTACCCCATTAAGTCAATCCGACTTGATAACGCTGGTAAATTTACGTCTTAAACCTTTGATGATTACTGCATAACATTGGGCATCGATGTTGAACACCCCGTTCCTTATATCCATACTCAAAATGGTTTAGCAGAAGCATTGATCAAGCGGCTTCAGTTAATAGCTCGTACTCTACTTATGAAAACCAAATTGGCAGTCTTTACATGGGGACATGCCATCTTACATGCTGCATCATTGGTTCAATTGAGATCTATAGCCACCCACCAATACTCCTCAGTACAACTCGTGTTTGGCCATTAGCCAAACATTTCACATTTACGAGTTTTTGGTTGTGCTGTTTATGTACCTATTGCACTGCCGCAACACACTAAAATGGGACCTCAGCGTAAACTAGGAATT